TTTTGACGAAGATCATCATTGGTCGATATAATGTTGTTGTTCATGTGAAGCTGTGAATTGCCATTGTTAATGTTGCTTCGTTCCTCAAGAGGATATTGACTTGGTTGCCTCATCGCCATTATTAAATTATTGTTGTTGCTCATGTGAAACTGTGAACCACCATTTTTAATGTTGCTTCGTTTCTCAAGAGGGTATTGTCTCGGTTGACTCGTAGGCACTATTGGATTATTGTTGTTGTAGTGCTGCAGTTGTTGAAAGACCGACCCAACCAAACCATTAGAAGTCACCATTGGTTGACCAATCAGATCCATCTCCAAGTTAATGTTTCCATTGCTACTACTCCCTTGGTACGGAAGAATTTTTTGAAGGTATGGATTTTTGTTGTAAGATCCCATTTTCATCCCAACTGTCCGGTCGATTTGAACATTAAGCGGTTCAGGAGATACGAAAAACCATTGATCCAATAAGTAATAACTTCCATTATCCCTTATTGCAGTACCAATGTCAAACCTTTTTGACGCTTCTTTCTTCTTCTTCTCAAGGTCCGACAAGGCAAAGAAATGGTCTACAAGGTCACGAGCCTTCTCCACAGATGGCCACACCATTGGCTCAACCTCCTCTTTAGGGATGAACATGATCATCGCCTGTACATCACACAATATAGTTAGTTCTTTTACCTCTTCCACCAGTGCTAGCATCTTTTTCTTCAAAGTTATTGCTCTTGGATTTTCATTCGCCGCCAATGCTGATTTCGTCTTTTCCCTTGGCATGATCATTTTTATTTATTTTGTGATTTCTCTTTTTGAGGTTTATTTTTTGTTAGAGGTGTGAGAAGAAACATTACACTTGTGAGTTTAAATAGAGAGATATGTGTTTAACATATGTTGGATTTAAAGAAACAATGTCAAAACTCAATATTGAAAAGTAATTAACGCGCCAAAATTTTAAATTGACTAAAAATGTTAGAAATAAATAACGCGCCAAAATTTGACATTGACTAAATAACAAAACTTATATATTAACCTTAAATTTATTATGAAATTTTGTTACCTAAAAAATTGTACAACATATGTTGGATTGTAAGATAGAATGTCAAAATTCAATATTGAAAAATAATTAACGCGCCAAAATTTAAATTGACTAAAACTGTTAGAAATAAATACCGCGCCAAAATTTGGTATTGACTAAATAACAAAACTTATATATTATCCTCAAATTTATTATGAAACTTTGTTACCTAATAAAACTGTAGGGTGCATTATCTTGACTTGAATCATTTACATATGTTGGAATTTGAACACATAAATTTGTATTTGTAAATTTTAGAAATTTATTAAATTTCATGTTAAAGAAAAATTAATGAGTTATTCTTTGACATACATAAAATAATATATTGTGGGGAACCCATTTAAAAATGATTCACCTTTTTAGCAATAAAATTGTTGACTATATAAAGTATTAAAACTCTGTAAACTTCGTAAAATTTTATATATAGTATAAATACAATATTTGTTTAGGTAAAAACCAAGGGGTTATGAATACAATATGTGGTTCATACAATATTAATTGATAGAGTTGGTTAATTATTTATTTTTGATAATAAATCTTCAGTAATTGTATTTTGTTCGGTTGTGGACACGTATAGTTTTACATTTTAGTATTCTTTTCGTTTATCTTTGTTATATATCAAGACAATAAGCAAAAATTAATCACTTATTTGTATGAAGCACAAAATGTATTATTTTCAAATTTTGCACAAAATGTACTATTTTAAAAATTTGCACAAATTTGAATATTTTAAAACTTAATAGTTTTAAAAGTTCACATTTTATCAAGTAAATTATCTTTCATTTAATTCCTCGATCATATGATACCCCCAATATTTTTTTTAACAACCCTCGATAGTATTTATCTTTAGTAAAATATTTATGGTGTAAACGATATCAGCATAATCTTATTAAATGCGGAATAAGGAAGAATTGGTTGATGATTTATTGCAAAATCTGGTAGAATAATCATTCTTCGAATGGTAAATGAGAAATATAGTTGAATTTGACTGAATAAAACTATAGAATTTCAAAAATGTCACTTTTGGTGTATCAATTTTATAAAATATCATCATGAGTTATCTATTTTCACAAACGTCACTCACTAAATGTAAATAGACTTACGAGAATTTTTGAGAC